TGACCACCCAAGGTGTCCCCTGATCCCAGGATGTCCCTTGACCACCCAGGTGTCCCTTGACCACCCAAAGTGTCCCCTTGACCACCCAGGTGTCCACTGACCACCCAGTGTCCCTTGACCACCCAGGTGTCCCTTTACCACCCAAGTTGTCCCTTCCAAGGTGTCCCCTGATCCCAGGATGTCCCTTGACCACCCAAGGTGTCCCCTTGACCACCCAAGGTGTCCCCTTGACCACCCAAGGTGTCCCCTTGACCACCCAAGGTGTCCCCTGATCCCAAAATGTCCCTTGACACCCAAGTTGTCCCTTGACCACCCAAAGTGTCCCCTTGACCACCCAAGGTGTCCCTTGACCACCCAAGGTGTCCCCTGATCCCAAAATGTCCCTTGACACCCAAGTTGTCCCTTGACCACCCAAAGTGTCCCCTTGACCACCCAAGGTGTCCCTTGACCACCCAAGGTGTCCCCTGATCCCAAAATGTCCCTTGACCACCCAAGGTGTCCATTGACCACCCAAGGTGTCCCGTGATTCCAGGATGTCCCTTGACCACCCAAGTTGTCCCTTGACCATGCAGGTGTCCCCTGACCACCCAAGGTGTCCCCTGATCCCAAGATGTCCCTTGACACCCAGGTGTCCATTGACCACCCAGTGTCCCTTGACCACCCAAGGTGTCCCCTGATCCCAGGATGTCCCTTGACCACCCAGGTGTCCCTTGACCACCCAAAGTGTCCCCTTGACCACCCAGGTGTCCCTTGACACCCAAGGTGTCCCCTGACCACCCAAGGTGTCCCCAACCCCCCAGCCCCTCCCCACGTCTCTGGGGCCACCGGCAGAGCGGTGACGCCGCCGTGTCCCCGCAGGGAACGTGGTGAACGGCACCATCGCCCGGCAGATGGTGGACATGCTGGTGGAGTCCTCCAGCAACGTCACCATGATCCTCAAGTTCTTCGACATGTTCCTGAAGCTGCGCGACATCGTCTCGTCCGACGCCTTCCGCCACTTCGTCACCGACCCGCGCGGGCTCATCTCCAAGAAGGACTTCCAGAAGGCCATGGACAGCCAGAAGCAGTACGAGCCCGACGAGATCCAGTTCCTGCTCTCCTGCTCCGAGGCCGACGAGAACGAGATGATCGACGTGGAGAGCTTCGCCCAGCGCTTCCAGGAGCCGGCGCGCGACATCGGCTTCAACGTGGCCGTGCTGCTGACCAACCTGTCGGAGCACGTGCCGCACGACCAGCGCCTCAAGACCTTCCTGGAGCAGGCCGAGAGCATCCTGGACTATTTCCGGCCGTTCCTGGGCCGAATCGAGATCATGGGGGCGGCGCGGCGCATCGAGCGCATCTACTTCGAGATCAGCGGCGCCAACAAGGCGCAGTGGGAGATGCCGCAGGTCAAGGAGTCCAAGCGCCAGTTCATCTTCGACGTGGTCAACGAGGGCGGCGAGGCCGAGAAGATGGAGCTCTTCGTCAACTTCTGCGAGGACACCATCTTCGAGATGCAGATCGCCTCGCGCATCTCCGAGGAGGAGGCGCCGCGCGACGAGGAGGAGGAGGAGGACGAGGACAGGGAGGAAGAGGAGCCGGCCGAGGCGCCGGCGCCGGCGCTGCCGGGTTTCGGGGCGCTGCGGCGGCTGCTGGGGTCGCCCCAGACGTGGCGCCGCAGGATCAGGAGGCTGCGCAAGAAGTCGGGGCGCGAGCTGGCGTGGGAGGCGGGAGTGGGCGCGGGGCGCGTGGCGCTGGGGGGGCTGCTGGGGGTCGGGGAGCCCCCCGGGGCTGAGCCCCCCACCCCCGAGGGGACCCCCATCCTGCGCAGGAAGATCGGGGTAAGGGGGGAAAGGGGATTTTGGGGGTTCCTGTGGTGATTTGGGGGTCCCTGGGGGGGATTTTGGGGGTTCCTGTGGTGCTTTGGGGGTCCCTGGGGGGGATTTTGGGCGGTTTTGAGTGGGGGAGGACCCCGGGGGTCACTGCGAAGGCTGGGACGTGGGGAGATTTTGGGGGTCTCTATGGCGGTTCCTGCTTGGGGGTTTTGGGTGATCCGGGGGTCCCTTTGAGGGGTCCCCTGTGGGGGATGGGACAGTGGAGAGTCCCCAAAGCCCCAATTCCAACCCCCCCATGGCCCTGCCCAGCCTCAGGGGGACTTTGGGGGGTCCCGGGGAGGGGACGTGCCCCCGCCGACCCCCCTTGTCCCCCCCAGGAAATGGCAGAGCAGGTGGGGGAGGCTCAGAAGGAAGAGGAGCCCCCGGCCGAGACCGAGAAAGCCGAGTAAGGAGAGAGAGGGGGGGAGAATTTGGGGAGGGGTCCCTGCCCCGCGAGGGAGGCTCCGGGGGTGTCCCCGAGCCCCCCGCCCACTACCGCTGTCCCCCAGCACAGAGAACGGGGAGAAGGGCGGGGGTCCCGAGGTTGCCGAGGAGGGGCCGGAGCCCCGCGCCCCCCCCCCGAAGCGGCGCAAGTCGGTGCCCCGGGAGCGCCGGGAGCCCCCGGCCGAGGGGGGCTTCGACTTCTGGGGAGAGCTGGAGGTGCAGAGGGTCAAGTTCCTGGTAAGGGGGGGTGGGGCCGGGGGTGTCTGGGGAGGGGGATTTGGGGGTGTCTCGAGGGGATTTGGGGAGGCCCTGGATTGGTTGGTTGCCCTCCCCCAGAATTACCTGTCGAGGAATTTCTACAACTTGCGGTTCCTGGCGCTGTTCCTGGCCTTCGCCATCAACTTCATCCTCCTCTTCTACAAGGTGCGGGGGTTTGGGGGGTCCTGGGGGGATTTGGG